CACAGGTGACCACTCGAAGATCACCAGTTACTGATAAGCAACCTGCTTTTTCCCATGTTGTCTGTCATATCCAGTTCAAAGAAAAAACGCAAACATGTTTTCCGTCATGGCTGGTGCATGCATGTGGATGTGTGTGATTTAAAAGATATATGTTGTCCTCTCTTACCCCCATAAATCATTGTTAGTCCCACGTGAATGAGTAACTGTAAATCGCTCAGAGCCAGCAAGCTCTGCAGGATTGAGCGATTAATAAATTGAAAGATGATGATGATGATGATAAAGGGCTCATTTGTTCAGCGCTGCAAGAAGGAGGAGCTTCGTATTTTCTCCCACCCTTTTGCTGGCAGAAAGGTCGATGGGGGGCTTCCCCCCAGCTCTCTCAGAGCTGTTCTGTCAAGAGGAGGTCTCAAAAGAGCTCTCTCAGCCCCACCTACCTCACAGGGTGTCTGTTGTGGGGAGAGGAAGGGAAAGGAGATTGTAAGCCGCTCTGAGACTCCTTCAGGTAGTGAAGAGCAGGATACAAATCCGATCTCTTCTTCTTCCTTTTCTCTGGATCCAAGTGCCCTAAAAAGTAGGATTGCCAGGTCCGATTGTTGCACCAGCGGTGGGATTGTGGGCATTCTGGGAGTGGGTGGGGATGTCATGTGACATGCATACATCACCTGAGAGTGATATAGGCACACTGGTGACATCAGGGGCGACACTCTGGTTTTTGGGTGAAACTCTAAGGTAAAATCATCCTCAAATCATAAGAGTTTTGCCCCAAAACCAGAGCATCACGCACACACCCAAATGCCACTGACACACCTACGTCACTTCCGGGTAATGTCAGCACATTACGCACAATGTCGCTGTTGGGGGGGATTTCCTCTCAGCGGCCTGTTGGCTGCCAGTGGGCAAAGGCATACAAAAGCAGGGAATCCCCCACCTCTTCCTGGAGAATGGTAACCCTACTAAGAAGGGGGAAAGGGCCCCCCACTGCCCTTTCTGCTGGTGATAGCAGGGTGGGAAGGAAACCAGAAGCTTCTTTCCCTCCCTTGCAGGGTTCCTTCACAGCACCTTTTAAAGGTATGTTTCTCTGATGCACATCTGAGTGTAAGTCTGGTTGCACACCCATGACCTGACATATGTTGGTTGTATCATATAATTACACCCTAAGTTGGACTCTAACCTGTGCAAAGCAGCGCTCCCCATGTTTAATTAGTGTGCCAGTGCAATGCCAGCCCAGGCAACCAGACTCTGGGTCTGATTAGACAAGATGTTAAATACAAGGTGGGTTAAGAGAAATGTCAATCCAGCTCGCATTTAACTTGTGACTGCCACTGCGGCATTTTAGGTCTGGTTCCATGTGTCTTCTGGGCATCTCGCCTCCCCATGGCCCTTTTCTGCTTGCAAATTTGTAGCAGGAACTCCTTTGCATATTAGGCGACACACCCCTAATGGAGCCAATCCTCCAAGAGCTTACAGTAGCCCCTGTAAGAAGAGCTCTGTAAGCTCTTGGAGGATTGGCTACATTAGGGGTGTGTCGCCAAATATGCAAAGGAGTTCCTGCTACAAATTTGCAAGCAGAAAAGGGCCATGGGGAGGCGAGATGCCCAGAAGACACATGGAACCAGACCTAAAATGCCACATCCTTCTTTTGCCATATCTCTCCCCCAAAATTGCATGCCAATTGCCTCAGCTGCTATATCTCTTTCCCTCCCTCACCCGCCACCGTCTCTGCTCCCTTCCCTCACTGGCTTGCCACTTCCTCTTTTTCATTCATTCACCCCCTGACACTGCCTCCCTTTTGGCCATGGCCATTTGCTGCTGCCACCTCCTACTTCCATAGGCATCGTTGCCACTCTCCCCTCACATCATGTTTCTCTGCTCCTGGTGGTGGCTACAGCTACCTGCAACAACAGCAATGTATGTGAGGTTGCTAAGCACCATACAAAATGCTAGCTGGGATCTTGCAAAGCAACATCTCAGTTTTTCTCCAGTTGTTGCAGTTTGATAGATATATAATTTAAAAACTGTTAGCTTTATTTCCATTTGGGGACTTTCAGCAAACCTAGAGGTTCCCCCGAGCTTGCTGAAAAACCCTGCCTATCTGTGCCTGACCCCATTGTGTGGCTTTTATGATCCACAGTCTAGGGGCATTGTTCAGAATAATAGAGGCAAACACAAACACTGCAGACTAGCTTGACCTCTCCTTCTACCCAGACCTCCAATTCCCTCTCTGATGCCAGTTCTCCCCTGCAGAGTGCTCAGCACATCCAGCTTCCTATTTTTGGTGCCTGCCAGCATCTTTCTCAGCTGCTTGTTTGGAGGCTGAGTATATTAAAGAGTAGAACTTTGGCTTAGCAGAGTGACTCCTTCTCAAGATCTAACATATTTTCCCTTCACCAATTTCTACATCAGATTTCTGGAGGTTTATATTATTAATAGCAGTACCTCTGCTTCCAAAGTCCCCTCTCCCTCTCCCCCATTCAATTTCCTAGCTACAAAACAGTCTAGGAAATCTGAGCTGTCTTGCATGTCACCATCATGTATTCCCATTAACACTAAGAGATGCAAATGTGAGGGCAAATTGTGTGATGGGGACAGAGAAATTGGCTCTGGCATGTGTTACTCTGTGAAGCTGACTCAGGAGACAAGCAAAAGGCAGTCAAGGCCACCAGTGAACATGTAGATGTCTATAGCACAGTGATCCTCAAAGCGGTGCCCACCAACGTCCTTACTGGTGTCCATTTGCTTCTTGGGGGTGAAGCCGGGGTGGGGGGGAATCAGCTAGCAACTGACTACCAAAGCACTGCACTCATCTCCCAGCCATGTGCCCTTAGCTGGCCATAAGCAGACTTTTTAATGTCACTAGACTTCAAAAACTATCTGCAGCCACATATAGAGGAAACCTCAACCTTTCAAAAATTGGGGGGGGGGGAGAGCTGATCCGCCACATCCTACAGGGCGAGAGGTATTTCAATGGAGCCCAGGAGGCATCACCTCTGCATAAGCAGGGAGCACCCATTCAGAAGCAGCTCTCTTTATCATAGGCCAATGCTTGACTCGAAAATTTCCCATATGTTGTAGAATCTCTCAATATTTTGCGAGTGCCTTTTTGAGATTGGCCCTGTCTCCATGGCAGCACTTTTGTGGTAGTACCACTACCCTTCCTCCAAATTTCAGAAGTGTCCACGTGTTCAACAGAGTCAGTGAACCATTCTACAACCTCTAAAACTAATTTACATTCCCAATTCGAGGTATCACAGGCTGGGTCCCTGTACTTGTGGCAGTGACAGCATTTGCACTCTGCTTCACCATGAGCATGGAGCATGGAGGATCACACCATCTTTATAAACCTTCCAAAAGTAGGCTGAAAGAGGCCAAGGTGGTCCATTATGTCTGTGGGTATCAGGGACAGTGTTAGGGAGCAGCCAAATCCAGAACTGGAGTGTATTCTCCAGCTTGTCCCTAGAAGTCAGTGACTGGAGCTCAGAGCCTGAAATACAGCATACAGAAGGTCCTACTCAGTTGACCAGGCCCAATTTTTAGCCTTTGTGCTACACCTGACCTGAGACTTCAAATTTCCATCAGTCATAGAGGCTGATATTGCACATACAGCATCCTGAGTTAAATCTTAGATCTAAACTACGAGCCTGCTCATTCAAGCCCTAAGGACCTATCTGCCTGTTACACTTTTAAGGGTCTGCCTGGGTCCCGTCAGGCAGTCATGCACTGGAAGTTCCCAGCTGAGACTTAGATACTCAGACATTGGGTCTATAGGGCAAGAAGACTTAAGATTTCCCCTGAATCATCTCCCTTTCCCCATAGACCAGAGTTCTAAGAACATAAGAGTAGCCAATGTCGGATCAGGCCAATGGCCCAACTAGTCCAACACTCAGTCACACAGTGGCCAAAAACACCAGGTGCCATCAGGAGGGCCGGCAGTGGGACCAGGACACTAGAAGCCCTCCCACCGTTGCCCCCCCCCCCAAGCACCAAGAATACAGAGCATCACTTGCCCCAGCCTGAGAGTCCCTATCTATACCTTGTGGCTAATAGCCACTGATGGACTTCTGCTCCATATGCTTCTCTAATTCCCTCTTGAAGCTGTCCATGCTTGTAGCTGCCGCCACCTCCTGTGGCAGTGAATTCCATGTGTTAATCATTCTTTGGATGAAGAAGTACTTCCTTTTATCTGTTCTAACCCGACTGCTCAGCAATTTCATTGCATATCCACGAGTTCTTGTATTGTGAGAAAGGGAGAAAAGTACTTCTTTTCTGGTCTGAATTGGGCCCCCACATGGCTCAGAATCTAAGTTTCAGCCAGGAACTCCTAGCACACAACTGCTAGGATCCAGGTGGACTCATCAACAGCACAATGTGTAGTTAGACATTGAAGCCTTCACAGTAGGACCCGGTCATCATATCAGATAAACCCATCCATTGCTTTGTAACTCACTGCTATGGCATGTAACCCCACCCCACCTCTCCCTCCACCCCCAAGGTGGCATTCACACAAAGAAAAGCAAATGGCACTTGGTTCTTTCTTGTAAAGGCAGGCACGGAGATGGGTCTTCTTTCTGCCAGGCCCACAAGTGCTTTATGCTCCAGAGTCCATCCTTTTCTTCTTCCTTGCAAGGAAGATGGGAATGTGTGGAAGGGCCAGTGAACAAAGCGGCACACAGTTTGCATCTTGTTATGTTTATTTCAGCTATTCATTAAGCATTCCGGTTGCTCCTCTTTTGCCAATGCCCCAGTGTCAATGGGGCAGCTAAGACCTGTGTATTGTCCCTGGGGTGGTTCCCTACCCCCCCACTCCCATGGTAGACTGTTTACAAAAAATAAACTTTACAATAATACATTTTGTTGTTCTTGTTGATATTGTTGCTTTTTATCATTTTTAAAAAAGGAAAGGAAAAGAAAGCCATTTGGTAAATGTATATGGTTATGTATATACATACATATATGGAGATACAGGTCTCTCTATATATACATATGCTAGAAAGGGAACTCAAGAGAGTAAAGTACATTTGGCTGCCACATATGGCTACTTCCATCCCACCAGAACCCAACTGAAGGGGGGGGGGAGGCATCACTCAGGGACAACCTCATAACAGAGGGTGTTTGTTCCCCTCTGACTTCAAAACCTTAGAAAACAGTGTGTAAGTGGGGCAGAAGAAACAGTAGAAAGAGACTCTCCCTAAAAACTGGCAAAATATTCTCCTTGTTTCACAAGGCATGGCTGTGTTCGGTGGCAGGACTTCCAGCCTCGTCGGTTGCCACAGCGGCAGAAGCCCCATGGCCCTGCACATATCTTCGTCCTACTGAAGGATCCCCCAAGATGCACTGGAGAGTTAAGACACTTCTGTGGGTCCCCTGGGGATCAATGAAAGCCAGGCTTGATTTAGGGCAGAAAGGAAACCAAATTCTCAAACAGCAGAGAGGGACTGGATGAGGGTGGGGGTCTAGACAACGGGTTTGTTGGCTTTGGCCCTGCAGAGCAACGTGGCAATCTGAGACTCTTCTGGCACACTCCGCTAAGTTTCCAGGGCGGCAGCATCAGTCTCTGGCTGCTTTCAAAGGCAAGTGCATTTCTCCTGAACACAACTCCGATTCCCTTTTGACATGACTCTTGCTTAGGAGACTGGAAACAAACAACGCATAAAAAGAAACTAGTCCAAACTCCCAGGCTGGGGTCTCCCCACACGTTCGGGCCTCACTCTGCAGAGCTCTTCTTGCAGCATTAAAAGTGTCTTGCACAAACTTCTGCAAATATTATGACTTTTCAAAAGCTGACACTCCAGAAGAGAACGAGCCAGAGGAGAATTCTTGCAGGGTGTGTGTGTCTCTCTGTGTGTGTGTCTGTGTGTGTGTGTGTGTGTGTGTAAGAGACAGAGAAAAAGGGGGGGAAGTGTGTGTGTTTGTTTCACTTGTTCCCCCCATGGGTGTCCTCAATCCATCTTTTTTCTTTTATAACGCCACTTTCACAAGGAGGAAAGGGAGAGCAGAGAGAGTCCCTGTGATGGAATGTCGGCTGCTGGATCCCTTTGGGTCCACAAATGTCTTCTGTTCTGGCATGAGATCAGTGGTCAGCGATTTCTGTAGGGTGAAGAGGGGCAAAAAAGACACAATCAGCTCAGCAGTCTCCTTGATGGGTTTGCAGAGTTACTGAAAGGGTTGTTTCTGTCAGTGCCAACAGGAGCAATCATACCAGGTAGCCGAGCATCCTGGTTCTGCTGCAAGGACGTTGACACCTATCAGAGCTTTGATTGACATCAGAGGCCATGCAAAAGGGGGGGGAGCTAATAGGGAGCATTTAGTACGATTATAGCCGGTCTCACCTCGTTGATAAACTGAGAGAGTGGTTTCACTCAACAACTTGGGAGAGGGGTGAGTCTTCACCACCCCCAGCAGTAAACCAGGTAAAATGCAAGAGATCAGTGACCACAAAGGATCAGATCTAGCTGTGACCAAGAACAGCCAGTTCAGGATCTGGAATATCTCTCTGCATCTTTTAATTGCATCTGTTTCCCCCCCCCCCCCCCCCCCCCGCTACTAATCCTGGTGAAGAGAAAAAGACAGGCAGCCTCCTGTGAAAAAGGGAGGCAGGGGATTGTTTTGAAACAAAACCAGAAAGTATGAACAAGGGGAGCCAAATTCTGTCCTTCTCCTACAACCTATTCTCACGCTTGAAGCATTTTTCTCCCACCAGACTAACTGGAACACAATTGTTGAACACATGAAGCTCCCTTACACTGAGTCAGATCCTTGGCTTGTCAGGGTCAGTACTGTCTACTCTGACTGGGTCGCAGGTAAAGACACTTTCAGATCATGTACTACTCGATTCTTGTAACTGGAGATGCTGGGGATCAAACTTGGAACCTTCTGTGTGCAAAACAGACACTCTACCACTGAGCCATGCCCTCTCCCCTAATAAAAAGTTGTGCAAGGGAGAGGGCAGGCTCTAAAAGTTGGCAGACGGGGGGGGGGGGGCAAAAATACCTTAACATTTCATCTCATTTGGATGGAAACCAAAGAAGTTGTAGGTTGAAATGAGTTGCTTGTTGCAGCCAATGGGAACAAATTAATAACAGGAAAGGGGAGGGCCCAAACAGGTCTAATAATACTATTAGAGAACACAAATATACAATATTAAGGAAGAAATGTATTTGGAAACGGCCCAAATGATGTTGCTGTGCACATCTGGGCTTGGAGCCTTTGAAATGTGCTAGTACATGCCAGTTTAGTGTTGTGCTCAAATGTTGTTATCAGGCCATCCTTATAACTAAATCCTGCTTATTCTGCTTCCAATCCTGATATGCACTGAAGTGGCTTGCCATATATAACTGCTATGTTAACGCACTTTTAAAAAAATCATATTCATAAACACATTGATTTCGTTAAAGATACATGCCATTTACAAAGTTTTTCCTCTCTGTGCTATTTTTTATGTCATTGGAAGTTCTTTCTGTCCTCAATTTTTAAAGTTTTTATGAGAAACAAGTGGGGGACCTGCAAGGGCTTGCAGAGGGCATCTCCTTTTCCTCTGTATCCCCTTCCTCACACCATTTCCTCTTTCCTTCCTTCCAGCAGCCCCCATAGCCTCACCTTTCCCCACTTCCTCATCTCCTTCCCACTCACCAACCAACTTACCTTTCATCTAACTCCATCTTTCATTATATTCCTTATTTATTTACTCTATTTATTTATTTAACATTCAATTTCTATACTGCTCAACCCCGGAGGCTCTGAGCGGTTTACAGCAGTTTATATCTCATGGGATCCAAGAAGCTTACACCATTCTCCTCTCCTCCATTTTATCCTCACAACAATCCTGTGTGGTAGGTTGGGCTGAAAATGTGTAACTGGCTCAAGCTTCCACAGCAGAGTGGAGGATTTGAACCTGAACCTCCCAGCTCCTAGTATGAAACTCTAATCACTACATTATACTGGTTTTTGAGGGGTTGCTGCTACTGAACAGTAAGTGCTATCTGAGTCCTGCAAGTCACATGGTAGCAAGTAACCCACTGGTCGCTGCCAGGCCTGGCCCCATTGAGTTCTCCCTCTGAGGCCAAAACAGCCCTGGAAAGGGCCCTACTCCCAGAAGCCAATCCTTGAAGACTAGCAATAGTGTGTGGTTGCCTAGCAACCGCCACTGAGGATTTTGTTTCTTAAAGCTACAGGCACTGCTTCTAGTATGGGGGGGGTTAACACCCCCTAATGTATTTTTTTTATTATTTCCTGCAAACCTGGGGCTTTTCTCTGTCTTGTCTGTTCATGGTTCCAATATCTGGATTAAATCATCTGCAGATTTGGCCACATTGAGAATTAGATATAGTGATTTTTATATTAAAAAGGAATGTAAATGGAAAGTTCTGGGAGTAAATTTAGGCTGCCGGTAGGGTATTACAGTTCAGGGCCTGCAGGATAGCCTTTTTAGAAGTGCTACATGTTCCACATGCAGGGCTAGCTGGGCAAGTCGAGGAATCTCTATGAATAGGGGAGACAGCAGTGTTGGGAGGAGCTCAGATTTCTGAGGACCTCGGTGACACTTTGGGACAAACTAAGACTGTATAGAAGGGATCAGCTTCACTTTAACCAGAATGGAACCAGGTTGCTGGCCCTTAACATATAAAAGGTTCCAGAACAGCTTTTAAAGTGCCTCATAAGAAAAAGCAGACATGTTGTAGAGCTTCCTGTTCGAGAAAACTCATTGCCAGGAGAGGATAGTGAAACTTGGTCAGATCATCTTAGTAGGGATAGAATAAATTGGGGAGGAGTCTTAAATACCAAATGATCCCACCACAAGGAGACAAAGAGTTAAAGAAAAAATACACACAGAGAGGGTGTGTTAAAAAGGGGATGGAGTTATTGCCGTTTGTATGAGAGCCAGTTTGGGGTAATGGTTGAGAGCAGCAGACTCTAATCTGGAGAACCGGGTTTGATTCCCCACTCCTCTACATGCAGCCAGCTGTGTGACCTTGGGCCAGTCACAGAGGGGGAACAGTCAGTAGACAGTCATCTAAGGTATATAGTTGGCACACAGGACTATTAATGCAACTACTTCTATTCATGAAGCTATTCAAAGTGAGGTCATCAGGACTCACCCTATGACACTGCTAGACCTCACCAATGACACCATCAGGCCCGGCCCTATGAGTCTAAGGTCTAGGATGATAACTGACAACCCTGCCCCCCGCATCTACTCATGCCACCTTACCAGAAAATTTCTGAATAGGGGCCTATCCATGGTTAACAGTGCAGTCCTAAGTAGAGCTACACACTTTTAAGTCTGTTCACTTCAACTCTGCACTGTAACTTTTCTTGGGAACAGCCATTTGTCCTATCCAAAATTTCCGCTCCTTGTTGCGTCTGGGGAGATTTTGCCATCTAGGCTGAGGATTTCCACCTGCTTAGCTACACCCCTTGACTGTTGGGGTGCCATCCTCCTGGTGGGACCTGGGGATCCCCCAGAATTACAGCTCATCTCCAGACTACAGAGATCTGTTCTCCAGGGGGAAATGGATGCTTTGGAGGGTGGATTCTGTGGCATTGTATTCCACTGATGTCCATTTCCTCCCTGGGCTCGATCCTCAAATCTCCAAGAGTTTCTCAACTTGGATCTGGCAACCCTCCCCTCCCATCCCCCGCTGGTAGCCGGAGGGGGGACCTGGTAATCCTACTTGACTGCTGATACCTTTAAGAGGAGCTACAGCTTGAAGGTGATGCCTTTTGCCTTTGTTAGTTAATAGCTAATTATTTGATGTGCTATAATAGGATTACATATCTGTTAAGCCACCTTGGGTGTTCTTTTGGACAGAAAGGTGAGTGAGAGCCAGTTTGGTGTAGTGGTTAAGAGTGGCGGACTCTAATCTGGAGAACTGGGCTTGATTCCCCACTCCTCCACATGAAGCCAGCTGGGTGACCTTGGGTTAGTTACAGCTCTCTCAGAGCTCTCTCAGCCCCACCCTACCTCACAGGGTGTCTGTTGTGGGGAGAGGAAGGGATGGTGATTGTAAGTCTCTTTGAGACTCCTTCAGGGAGTGAAGGGTGGGGTATAAAACCAACTCTTCTTCTTTATAATTAAATATATAAACTCTGCCCTCCCCAAGCCCCACCCCCACCCCCAAATCTCCAGGAATTTCCCAATTTAGAGCTGGGCAATCCTAATTATAACTGTGGGCGTTTAAAAAGGACAACAATTATTGTATAGGGCAGCAACCAAGTTCAACTTCTTCTAACTCACTGGTTCCTTTTGAACAACACTGGGATATCCCAGGTAGACAATTCAGTTTGAAATATTTAACTGAGACTTTTCCTGGTTCATTTCCATTTTGACCCAGATTATTCTGGCCTGAGATGGAACAGTTTATGCAGGCCCTCTCCCACCAGTGACCAGTTACAAAGGTGAAACAGTTTCCCTTTCAATCTCACACAAAGCTTGCTTACACTAAAACTTTCTAGGTTAGCCTGTTAAAGAGGAAATACGTAACAGACACAAGAAAGAAGCAGACATAGAAAAGGAGCAGATTTGATCAAGAAGACATTAACCGAATAAATTCCAACTTCTTCACTCCCAGCCAATCCAGATGATTAAAACTGCTTGCACATTTTCCCTCGTACCTCTGCAAAAAAAAGTCTAGACTCAAAGACTTTTTTTAATGGAAGTTGGGAATCCAATAGTGGGGCATACTAGGGTTGCCAAGTCCCTACCGTCTGTATAGCGGGAGAGTCCAGTGCTGCTCCGGGAGGCCATGCGCGCGCAGGCACACCAGGGGCGGGGTCACAATTATCCGAGGAAAAAACATAGAGTTTTCCCTCGGATGACCGCGGCCCCGCCCCCAATGCACCCGATGCGACTGCATCACTTCCGGGTGACGTGCTGACACCAGGGACATTGCGTGCTTTGGGGGGTGGGGTTCCCCCTGGGGCACGATCTGCCGCAGGGTAACAGGCCTCTCAGGCGGGGGTTTCCCTGCCCCCGGGGGGACTTGGCAAGCCTAGGGCATACTGTGCTTGGGGGGGTGCCCTAAATGCCTTTCTGTAACTGTGGGCACAGTTATAGAGCTGACTAGAGGAGAGGTAGGAGCTGCGGTGGCTCAAGTGGTTAAGACGCTGAACTGCAGGCTGTGGAAGGTCAGTAGTTCAGCAGTTCGAGACCCAGGTGCTGCAAGACGGAGTGAGCTCCCGTCTCTAGTTCCAGCTCCTGCCAACCTAGCAGTTCGAAAGCAAGAAATTGCAAGTAGATAAATAGGTACCACTTCGGTGGGAAGGTAACAGCGTTCCGTGCGCCTTGGCGTTTAGTCATGCCAGCCACATGACCACGGAAATGTCTTCGGACAGCGCTGGCTCTTCGGCTTTGAAACAGAGATGAGCACCGCAACCCTAGAGTCGGATTCGACTGGCTCTCGAGCAAGGGAGCGTGTCCCCCCCCCCCGCACCTGCTCAGCTGTGCCAGCCGCGTTCCTTCTGCAGAGAAGCGGTGGGCTGACCGTAGGTTTGCCAGTTCCAGGCTGGGAAACTCCTGGATATTTGAGGGAAGAGCCTGAGGAGAGCAGGGATCTCAGTGGGGTACGATGTGATAAAGTCCACCCTCCAAAGCATCCATTTTCTCCATGGGAACAGATCTCTGTAGTCCCACCTGGCGGCTGGCATCCCTAAGGGGAGGTGATGCTGGGTTTTACACTGAGTGGTACCTGTGATCTAGTACAAGATATAAGTTTTTGAACCACTAGGGAAGGCCCCATGGCTATCAGATTCAACATATGCATAAACAGTACATTACTTGGAAAGGCCAAAACAGCCACATTTAACTGTAAAAGAGGCAACAACTGAAAGATGAGATGACTGGTTAAAAGGAATGTGAAAGGAAGAGTAAGGAGAGTAAAATGTCTCTAGGGTGTTTGGAGATTATTTAAAACCACAACACTAGCAGCTCAGCTAAAATGTATACTACTGAAGGAAGAAACACTGTGAATAACCAGCCACAACTATTAACAAGTGAAGTCAAGGAAGCTATAAAAAGCAGGAAGGCCTCTCTGAGAAAGTAGAAGCCTAGCCCAAAGGAGGAAAAATTGAGACTGCCCAAACTCTAGCAAAATAGTGCTAAGGCACACCAAAAGGTGATTAACAGTGAAGTCCTAAGAATACTCTTCTGGGAATAAGCCCCACTAAACAGACCTGAGTAGTCAATCTGCTTAGTTTTGCTCTCTTAAGGAACACACTGCTAGAAGCAGCGGGACAAACAACGGGAGCTTCTTTCAATACCTCAGAAACAGAACAGATGAAGCTGATGGACTGTTAGATCACGGTTTCCCAACCTGTGGGGTCAGGACCCAAAAGTGGAACATGAAGCCTCTGCAAGTGGGTTGTGGGCCAGCCCTCATTAATGGCCACCTCTGCCCTTTCTGTTGCTCTGTTTTGTATCTTGGAAACCCAAGATCTGTCCCTGGAAACAGTACTATCCATGTCATGCATTAGTTGGTGTGCTTTTTTTCTTCACTTCATATATACACGTTGATCAAGTAAAATGTGTCCTGATGGTTATGAGGGTGAGTTTCTTAGAATCTTAGAGGGGATCTGAGGGAGTAATGGAGATGGAGAGTGTGCTCAAAGGCTGGGATGTAATCTCATATGCAACGGCTGTGTATGTTGTAATGCCACTTGCTTAGGACTCATAGTGGATGCCGCTGAACCCTTTGTGTTATGATGGTGGGTTTCTCAAAAACATTTGGTTGGCCATTGTAGAAAATGGAATGCTGAACCAGATGGATGTCAAGGTCATAGTTTGCCTAGAGCCCTCAAAAAGCTTGGGCCAGCCTTGGATGGGTCACCATACCAAATAAATTTGGACTTGTGGGTTGCCATACCGAAGCGGTTGGGAACCACTGCATTAAATTACACAGGTATGAAGACTTCTGAAAGGGAATAGGGAATAGGGAATAGGGAGATTGCAAATAAGCTAAACAAGCACTTTGCCTTCACTGTGGAAGATGTTGGGCAGACACCTGTCTTGGAAACAGATCTTTCCAAGAGGAGGGGTGAAGAACTGACAGGTGTCCAAAAAGAAGTTCTAGGGCTAACTGAAAGAATAAAAATTAGCAAATCACCAACTCCAGACTGTATATACCCAAGCACTCAAAAAGGAAATAGCTGATTTTCTAATATAATAAACATATGTAATTTGTCTTTAACATCAGCCTGAATGTCAAAAGAGTGGAAAATAGTCAATGTCACCAATGTTTTAAAAAGGAGGAGAGAATTATAGACCAGTTAGCTGAATACCAATGCTAGGTAAAGTGGAAAAAAAACACGTAGAAGAATAAGTCATGCTGAACAGGAATCAGGATGGCTTTTCTAAAGTGAAGCCCTGCCTCAGGATTCTTTGAAAGCAGCAACAAGTATGAAGACAAGGGTGACCTGAGAGACATTGTATATTTGTATTCACACAAAACTTTCAACAATGTGCATCATGGAAAGCTTCTGAGTAAATGTAACAGTCACGGGATAATAGGACATGAACTAGCATGGACTGGTAAATGATTGAAGAAGACAGAGCAGAGTGTGGGAATAAATGGGCAGTTTTTGCAACACGGGGATATGAGCCTGTTCACAGGGAGGGCGGGGTATAAATATAAATAAATTAAAAATGACTATAGAAGTTCTTCAGAGACCTTTGACAGGGCTGATGCTATTTAATTTACTCAGAAAGGGCCTGGAACTGGGCATGAATAGTGAGGTATCAACATTTGCAGATGACACCAAATTGTTTAGAATGGTGAAAAAATGACTGTGAAAAACTTCTTAATGACTGCTCCAAACAGGGTTAAATGGCCAAACAAATGGCGGATAAAATTAAATGCAAATAAGTGCAAAGCTGGAGGAGAGTATACTAATTCCACATATATGCTGATGAATCAGTAGTGAAAGAACAAGAAAGAGACCTTGAAGTTGTGGTGTATGGCTTGTCAAAAAACATCAACGAGGCCTGACTCCAGCTGCCAAAAATACCTACCTCTGAGAAGCAAAGACTCTGCTCTTTGGACTTGTTTAGCTTCGGACTATGTTCCTGTGGAGACAGAATAAGACTGGCATTGAAGAGTATGGGGGAGGTGTCCTCCATCTCCCAGATAGAAGCAAGTACAAAGCACTTGTCATGACAGACAGCATGAACCCTTGTCATGACAGACAGCATGAATGTTGGTGCTGAAAGAGCTGCTACCAACAGACCTTCAACCCTACCTGTTGATCACACCCAGACCCCTGGCACTATGAAAAGGTGGGCTTTTTTGTCCTGCACCAATCAGGTTGCCAGCTTTGTTTACTGAGCAGGGCTTCCTGGGGTTTAAATAAAAGTACAGAAACAGACATTCAGAAGCTAAAGCTTTCCCCATCATTATAACGGCACACAAGAGAGAAAAACTTAACCTGCCTGTCATGTGGGAAAATACTGGTAACCTGATGCCCCGACATGAGACCCACATCCGAAGGAACAAGGATGGACTGTAACAGATCAGCCTTTTCATCTCATGTATGTACAAGACAAGATAAATCCTCTATTCTGATTCTTCACCCATCCTTTTAAACAAGCCTTTGGCTTGACCTTTAATTCTACTCCCCAATTTTGGACATGTAGCTAGGAGGAGGAGGAGGAAGATGAAGAAGAAGAAGTCTCAGAACAGCGACTCCATGCTGACTCTGCATCATTTTGCTCATCTAGGAGGACTTCTGTCTCCCAGCCCCTCTCAACATCAAACAGTCTGAGATCCTGAACAGCTTTCAAGGTGCCTTAGGGGGGGAAAGATGCCTGGTTTTGGGAAACTGGTGCCAAAAAAAAGATGTTTAGTTTCCAGGAAAACACTTTTAAAGGAATTGTGCATTTAGGAGAAAGCCCGAGAAATCAGAAAAGGAGCGTCAGCACAGCACGAGGCCAGCCAAGTTAATTAGTTCCTTTGTTAGTCCTTCAAACTGCCACAAAAGATAAGATTTAAAAAATACAGAATATTTACAACTTAGCTGAAAACGATCCTAAGTCACTTGCATTCCTAAAAATAGTTTCAGTTTTGTTTTTGCATGTGGGTGGGTATTCTGTAATAATTGTTTGGATACACTATATTTTTAATATGCTAGTTGTGATAATTTCATGCCAAGTAAAAATGTCCATAGTCATATTTTATGTTCCTAAAGTAACAGAATGACTTTCAAACTAGAAAAGACAAAAGAAATGCTAATGTAGCATTTTTTTCAATTTTTCTGAAAATTTACATTTTTTTCCAGAAAAAAATGGGGAAAAAACGGGTTGTTTTCCGAGCTTCAAAATTTCCGGAAATTTTACATCTCTAGAACCAAGCCCGGTTCTCCAGATTAGACTCTGCCGCTCTTAACCACTACACCAAACTGTTCCTTGGGAACAGAAACCTACCGTGTTTTGCCTATGTAACTCTCCAATGTGCCATATTTTATTATTTGTTAAGATATTTATATCCTGCTTTCCTCCCCAGCCGGTACCCAAAGTGGCTTGCAACATTGTTCTCCCCTCTTCCACTTTTATCCTCCCAACAAAACCCCTGGGAGGTAGGCTAGGCTGAGAGGGAGGGACCCAGGGAGCTTG